TATTCTGGTTGGAAAAACAAACAGTGATTATATGCTATTTGACAGATAGTAGTAATATACTGTCTCTTTTCTTTGACAACAACTAGTAGTACGATACTGGTGTCATTAACAATTCAGAATATATCTTTGTGGAATTTTTTCAGAAATTAATTTTGGGTTTTAGAAATTATTTTCTGAGTTTTCATTAATTAAAATTCTGTTTCAGTATTTTAATTATTGAAGTGTTACTGAAATTTATTTTCTTGTGTGGAATTAATTTGTTTAAATAATATTTTATTTTATTTCCAAATTAATTGAAAAATAAAAGTTATAGTTTAATAAAATTTTATTTTATTTTCAAATTAATTGGAAAATAAAAGTTACATTCTTGTTTCTTTTATTTTTACGGAATTTAATTCTGTGAATTTGGTTTAATTTTCTGTGTAGTGTAAATTCTAATTATAATTTTGTTTTATATATTAGAATTGATGGCTACTGAAACAAATGCCCAAACAAGTACTACTGTGGTGGCTGCAATAACGCTAACCCCCTCTCCTGTTGTAACAGTACCGGTAAATCACGGTGAAAAGCTAGAGAAGTTCTTAGGAACTGACTTTAAAAGATGGCAACAGAAAATGTTGTTCTATCTTACAACTCTGAACCTGGCTTGTTTTCTCCGTGAAGATGCTCCTATCCTGAAAGAGGATGAAACCGACCGGCAAGTGGTTGCTGCGGTTGATGCTTGGAAACATGCCGATTTCCTTTGCCGGAATTATGTCTTGAACGGACTTGACAACACATTATACAACGTCTACAGTCTAATCAAGATAGCAAAGGAACTTTGGGAATTGTTGGAGAAAAAGTACAAAACGGAAGATGCCGGCTCAAAGAAATTTGTGGTTGGCAGATTCTTGGATTTTGTAATGGTTGATTCAAACACTGTGATCAGCCAAGCTCAAGATTTCCAACTCATTCTGCATGACATTCACGCAAAAGGTATGTATCTCAGTGAATCCTTTCAAGTTGCAGCCATAATTGAAAAATTACCAAAAGGCTAGAAGGAATTCAAGAACTACCTCAAACACAAGCGCAAAGAAATTTCTATGGACGAGTTAATTGTGCGTTTGAGGATTGAGGAGGACAACCGCAATTCTGAAAAACGGGCTGGTAAGCTTCCTATGGAGTCTAAGGCAAATGTGGTGGAACATGCTTCAAAAACCAAGAAACGAAAGTCTTCTGGAGAAAGTTCATCACAAGGCTCTAAGGAGGGGGGGGGAAATAAAAAGTACAAGTTTAATGGCAAATGTTACATCTGTGATAAAGAGGGACATCGGGCCAAAGATTGCCGTAGCAAAGGCAAAAACAAAAGAAGAACAAGCAAGAAGCCTGCTCAAGCCCACATGACCGAAGTGGATAATATTTCCAATGGTGTTGATGACATCAATCTTTCTGCAGTTGTTTTCGAGGCAAATCTTGTCGAAAATCCTAAAGAATGGTGGGTGGACACTGGTGCTACTCGCCATATTTTTGCCGACAAAAAGATGTTCACATCTTATTCTATAGTGGACAATGGTGAACAACTGTTTATGGGAAACTCCTCAACTTCCAAAGTTGAAGGACAAGGAAAGATTGTACTCAAGATGACATCTGGAAAGAAACTCACTCTCAACAATGTACTGCATGTACCGGACATTCGCAAGAATTTAGTTTCCGGATCTTTGTTGAGTAAGAATGGGTTTAGGCTAGTTTTTGAAAGTGACAAATTTGTAATTACCAAAAATGGGATGTATGTAGGAAAAGGTTACATGTCTGATGGCCATTTCAAGTTAAATGTAATGACCGTTGTACCCTCAGTTATTAATAATACTACATCTTCTTCTTACTTGCTTGAGTCTTCAAATTTATGGCATGATAGACTAGGACATGTTAATTATGGATCTTTGCGTAAATTAATTAATATGGAAAGTTTACTTAAATTTAACATTGATTCAAATCATAAATGTGAAATTTGCGTTGAGGCAAAATTATCTAAAACTCCTTTTCATTCAATTGAAAGAAGTACGGAACCACTTGAATTAATTCATAGTGACATTTGTGATTTTAAATCAATTCAAACTAGAGGTGGGAAAAAGTATTTTATCACTTTTATAGATGACTATACTATATATAGCTATGTTTATTTAATTCGAACCAAGGATGAAGCTTTGTGTAATAACCCTCACCACTGCTTACCGATAAACTGAACTGATTATGACTGATAATTGAACTGATTAAAGTACTGAACTGAATGACCGAAAACTGAAACTGAATTGACTGAGTCTATCTGTTTAATTGTGCAACTATCTGTTTGAATTGCATTTTATCTGTTGACTATTTGTTTGATCTGTTCATGTCTTATGTTTAAACTGCTCATTGAAGGCCTTATCGGCGGCCGAATTAGAAACCGATTGGTGTTTTATGATCGTCATAATTAATGTGATTTTATGGTATAATTGTCGGAAAATTGATTAGGTATGATTAAATTAGATTAAAATGAGTTAAATTGCAACAGTTGCCGTAATTACCATTTTGCCACACTTAGTGGCCACTATCTCACACACATGTGAGCCTTGTACACACTTGAAGAACATTTCATTAGCCCCTTCTTCTTGTTCAACCGACCACGAGAGGGAGAGAGGGAGAGAATTTGGTTTTCATCTTGAATTGCTTGGAACTTGGAGAATTGCTTGCTAATTAAAGAGTAGATTGCTTAATTGAACCTCTAGACTTGCATTCGAGGAACCTAGGTATGAATTTCATCCTTTTGATTTGTCTTTAAGTTGATTCATGCATGGTTCATGCCTAAATGTCGAGCAAAGTTGGAATTGGTTCATTAATGGTGAATTGAAGCTCATTTCTTGCATGCATGTTAGTGTTATTGGAGTTTGAGTTGAATTCATGACAAGAAGGTTACATGCATGTTCATAATTATGTTAAGTCTGTGGTTTCACCATGTTTTGAAAAGAATTGGCTCCTTAGAGCATCAAAGTGGAGCTTCAAAATGATTTGAATTCATGCATGTTTGCATGTTCTTCATATTTTTGAAAAAAGGTTTGAAATTGAGTTTGAATTAAACACCCTTGGGCTTGATTTCTCAAATTGAGCTTTGAACCATGATATTCTATGTGTTCACAAATGTTTTCCAAAAAATGGGCCCAAGAGGATTGGTTTTGATGCATTTCAATGTGAGTTTGAGCTTGGAGGTGCAATCTGGAATTCCCAGATTTTGCACTTACGCTCGAGCGGGGAAAGCGGCGCTCGAGCGTGGAATCCGAGCATCCAGCATCTCTCTGCACTGTTTTACAGTCCGCTCGAGCGGAGGATAGGGCACTCAAGCGGAGTCATGTGTCTCACGCTCGAGCGGGCGTAGAGCATCTGTCGAGCGGAGATTCCACCCGCCCAGCACTTTTGACTATTTTTGCATAACGCTCGAGCGGGTAATTCTACGCTCGAGCGGGTACCTTTGTCTGCATGTCCGCTCGAGCGGAGTGACCTACGCTCGAGCGTGACCCCTGTTTTCTGAAAAATCTGAAATTGCTTTTTGAGTACATCTTTGTATCCTCATCCCATTCTAGGCATTATTAGGCCTAGTTTAAGGCATCTTACTGAGGATATAGATGTAGAACACACCGAGGCATTAGGGGTTAAGTTACTATCTTTCCCAGCTGTGTAGCTTAGTGTGTTCAATCTGTTAACTGTGTAGGGTTGGCGACTGAGGAGACGCTCTAGCATACTGTAGCCCAAACTCTGTGAGTAACGATTGTGTAAAGATATGTTCACAAATGATTATCTTCTGAACAACTGAACTGTACTGTTTTCTGAACTGATTACTGGTATTACTGAATGAATGTATGTCCTTTATTTCTGAACTGTACTGTGGCATCCTTAGCACCTACTGTTTACTGTTACTGTCCTTTTTGTGGCTGATGGAGAATATGTGGTGAAAATGTTTTTGTAATGAAGTAACTAAGACCATCTAATCTATAAGCTTAAGGCATGCTCCTTTGTTTGCCTCCTTTGAAAAAGCAATTTGGTCTTTTTTTAGTTTCTTTTAATAATTTTTTTAATCTTTCTGCCTTGTAACGCTTGTGCTTGTTTCTTTTTAACAACACTTTCTTTTAAATTTTTTTTTAAAAAAGTTATACTGTCTGAAAACTAGCACATTTAGAATGGACACCTGTCTTACCTATGCTAATTATCTTCTATTTCTGGGTAACCATAACTAGTTACTAGACATCTAAGAACTCATGGAACCATATTATTTTGGTTATAGAGCTCTGACGATAATGAAGATTGAAAAAGCATTAGGAATTGGATTTTAGTTTTTCCCTGACATGTATAGGTGATGTTGACATGCCCTTGTCTATTAAGTTATTTTTGTCACGGCAACTATCAGAATTCCAGATCCATGGAGAGAATAATCACTCTATATTTGGGCATTTGTACTGGAACTATTGTTTGTTGCCAAGTGCCTAGATCGTGTAGTAATGAGGGGGAGTGGATATGCCAAAATAATTGTCTATGGAGTAACTAGTTATATACGTGTGTACAATTATTTTTTTGTCTAGATTAAAAAATCGTAATTCAAGTCCTGTAATGTAAATTAGGGTTTCTCCAAAAGCTGTAATTTGGACCACCCTTAAACAAAAACCACAGGGTAAGGTAATTTTAAACATGATGTAGCTGGAGTCTATATGTTTGTCTGAAGTTGAACCTTGCATGATTGAAAACCAAATATGGAACAAAGTGAGAATTTGTAAAACTTTATGTTTATCAATTATTATGATCTTTGGCAACCACAAGTGGCTAGTTCGGCATTAGTATTACTAATAGAATGGGCTCATCAAGTCAACAAAAGAATTTCACTTCCATTTTTGACAGGCAATTAATTGGTTAATTGGGTGATTTCCCTCTAAATGTGAAGCATATTCATATGCTGTTTTCTTAGTAAGATATTACACTTGCATTAGGTTTTTATCTGACTCAGCTTTATTTTGGATTTTTGTCAGATGGGGGGGCGGTCTAATGTTCGGAACGAGCTTCTTTGTCGGTTTGTTTTTCCTGAGAGGCCTGGTGCTTTGATGAAATTTTTGGATGCTTTGAGTCCACGTTGGAATATTAGTTTGTTCCACTACCGCGGACAGGTTGAGATTTAAATGCTTCTCATAATTGTTTTTTGACAATTTTTCTTCTCTGCAATCAATTTTCATCGTTGTTTTTATTTTTCTCCTTTTCAACAGGGTGAAACAGGTGCAAATGTATTGGTTGGAATTCAAGTTGCGCAGTCCGAAATGGAGGAGTTCCGAGATCGTGCCAACGGTCTTGGTTACGATTACATGGTGGAGAACACTAATGAGGCATTTCAACTCTTAATCCACTGATTAGGCTTGGTGATATTATGTTGAAATCAGATTGGACAATCAATGTCCCGTGAAGACTAATCATGAAGTACGCCTGTTTTCCACATCCCGTGGAGAAAAATAAGAGTAGTTTTTGTATTTCACTATTTATTCTCTCTATTTCTGTATGATTAGGTTTTTTTTTACTTTTTTTTTTTCATTAGTTGTTAATAAAGGAAATTGTATAAGTGTTTCATCCTAATGTTTTCCTACTTGTTGATTGTCTCTCTACGTACATTGTTTTATTTGGCGTTGTGTTTGCAATTCATTGTAAAAAGTTTGTCATGCTAGTATTTATTAAATTAAGGTCCCGTTTGAGATAGAATGGAGGTGATTCATAATGAGGAGATTGTTGGTGAGGGGATTGATAGTGAGGAGATTAAGTAAAATTGTGTTTGTTTTGATGATAGTTGTTAGTGTAGGAGTTATTAAATAATTTTTATATAAAATAATAAAACAAATAAAAAAATATAAAAAATTAAACATTAATATTTTAAAAAAAATTTCAATATATAAAAAATAAAAAAAATTAAAATTTTTTTAATTCCCTCACTATTTTTCTAATATCATCTCCACTTCTTCCATCTCAATCTCCCTTCCAACCTCCATCTATATCACCTCCTCCATCTTAATCTCCTCTCTAACTCTACAAATAAACACAATACCAAATAATCTCACCTCTATTCTAATTCCTTCCCATCTATTTAACCCCAAAACAAACGGGGCTAAGATTTAGGGTAATTTAGAAAGTCTTCTTTGGGAGGATCTCTATATTCTTATATGCATTTCTTAGAAACACTTTTACGCTGTGTTTTGTTGGGGGATTTGGAAAGAGAAAGAGAAAATGTGTGTGAAATTAGGTGAAATATAGATATGTTTGGTTTACATTTCACTTACCTTTTTTATTTTTTTTTTTAAATCTTTCATCAAATCTTCCAACCAAATACAACATTAGTATTTGATAAACTTGCACTAATGTATTTGGTTTAGTTATGTGTGTTTTTTATTTGTCTTCCCATTTTGAGTTTCATTAATTTTTTGTAAGGTAATAAACAAGGAAGTTCTTTTTTTCTGTTGTTGATAATTCAGTATCTAACTCACTAGACTAACTAATCTAATCGCACATTAGTTGGAGGCTCAATTAAAGCCAAGACAAAGTCTTGTATAGACTAATCTCAAAAAATTGTTGATACCTCAAAAGGTTTTGAACATGAAATCATATATCTTAGAGTTAGCCATATGACATCCAATTATAGAATTAACACACCTTTCTCATAAAATCAATGCATGAAACACCTTATATAGGTAGATAGCTTACCTGTGATCTCAAAATTAAAAGAACATACAGGGCAAGGCTTGACTTTTCAAGCGCTTTAAGCAAACTCTCAATATGTACAAAATTAGCTTAAAAGGGAATTCATTACAAAAATTTATAAATGTAAAATTTAGTTTTCTTGTTTTATATTTTAACTCAAGGGAAAAATACTAACAAAAATTTAGAATTATAATATCAAAATTAAAAATAAAATATCAAACCAGTTGCACTACAATATCTCTAAAACATTATTATTCTTACATTTTTAATTACAAAATTGAACCAAAAGCTCCCACTTAATTAAGATTGAATTATTTATTTATTTATTTTTGTATACATAGATAAATGCTTTATAGCAATAAATAATTCAATTCACAATCCAACAACCATCAATTCTTATTTTAGTGATTTTAATTTTAAAGTAAAGTCAACAAATAATAAAGTAAAACCGGAATTATATAAAATTTAAAATCATCTGAAAATAAAGTATGACTTCATTTCTATTATTCACCATGTTTGGTTCCAGAAAATTGAATCCACTTTTTAGAAAATTGAGTTTTTTGTTTTTGTTTTTTTTTTGTTTTTCGTGAATTTTTTAATATTTTATGCAATTTTATTTTTTATTTTTTAGATACACCCAATCTAAATACACTTAAAAAGTATGATATTTGTGAATTTTTTTTTAAAAAAATTCACCAAATAAATATATGTATATATATATATATATAAGAAAATTCAATACATTTTCATATATTTGTGGGTATTGAATGAATTTTTTAAAGATTTTTGTACAATTTTTTTACTTTTTAAGTAAATTAAGATTAAGTAGATCTAAAAATTAAAAAAAAATGATTAAAATATTTTTAAAAATCATTAAAAATACAAAAATATGAATTGAAAACTCAGAAAACTATTTTTGAAAACTCAAAACCAAACAGGGTGATTGTCGTTTTCTCTGAAATGACATGAACAAAATATTTACATTATCATTTCTGGTATTGGTGGAGATAAATATTTTATTATAATTTTTTTTTTACAAAAATAATGTTAATATTATATTATAATTAATATATTAGATTAAATTAAAAAAATTTATCACAAATTTATGAGTTCGAACCCCTAATCTCATTTCACCCGCACTCAAAGGTCATGGCTACCAAACTATATTTTAGCGTTAATCTTTTTGATCGGCAAAGAAAAATTTCATTAAAAATATGAAATTTGAAGGTACAAGGAAATAAAACGCATTGAGAGAGATTTGAAGAGTAAAAACTCACTCTCCTACTACTGCTACTCGCATTCTTACAACCAATCTCTTGACCTCACGATTTTACATTTTAAAAGACAAATAAAAATTACCAAAAAAAAAAAAAACCAAACCCTTGGTGTCAGATTGCTGCCAAGGCCAGCTCTGCGCACACAACCACACCAAGCATGACTCCTCTCGATACTATTTGTATGAGCACATAAATAATCTTTTTGTATAATCCTGTTGATCAAGTTTGCACTTCTTCAAACGTCGTTGCTTTGTCACCTGAAGACACAAACGTGAGCTAGCTGACACGTGTGTGCCGGAAACCTCTCCGATGCCTAAGCCAACAATTAGACAATAGACACAAAAGCTCTGTGTATTCTAGAGTAAGAATTGTGATACTTGTACATAGGTCATGTTATGAGCTTTTATAGATTCTACTTGGGACAATCCTAGTAGGACTCCATCTCTTCTCAACAGAGTCTTGCTAGGAACCACACTCCCAAGGATAATATTCATCATAGTAACATCCTACTCACTACCAACCAAGTAAGATGGATCAAACCTCCTACCTCGGCTCAGTAGCACACTCAACCGAGCTAGCATGGTCTTGCCCTACGTTGGACAAAACCAAAATGGTAGTCGATCGAGATAAACCCCAGTTCGGTACACTACAAATTACATCCCGGTTCGAGCTGCTGCTTACATTTGGTCCATCTGTTCCAGCCCTTGGTCTAATATCTGTACACCTCAAGACCGAGCTATTGAAGCTTTTAGCTCGGCCGGAAGTGTGCCCCAACGAACTGAGGAGTCTACTTAGCTCGGCCCAATGCTTAAAACAAATGGACCTAGCTCGGCCCAATTTATGCATATAAATTACCCTTTCAATTGCCCCTTAATTCTATCTACGAAGCATGATTAGGATTATTACCTTCAAGCCGCGCTAAAATATCACCCGAAGTGAAACACTTCGGCTAGCCGAGCTAAAAAACCCACTCGGTTTTTTCCATTATTGATGTAGTACAGCTCGTTTTCCCATGCCACTGACACCATGTCCTTACTGGGACACGTGGCTCCTCTCAATTGCCTCTATCACTATAACAACTGTCAATCATAACTCCAAAATTTGAATAGTCCTACCGTTTTACCTCCATTTCACATTTATCCCCTTAGTCTTTAAACGTCCATTGTTACTGTTAATCTTCTAACCCAAAAACCAAAACAGCTTTCTGAGAGCAAAAACTCCAATTCTGCCTTTGCTCCTATTCAAGCTTTGGTACTTTCATTACTGCCACAGGAACGTCATGTTGCTGCTCAATGTTTACGTCTACAAACTCATAAGTTTCATGCTCCTTCTAAACACTCTGCCTGACTTTTTCCGGGTGCTTGATTCTCTTAACTCTATATATCCATTATATTGTTTTTGCAAGAGTTTGCATAGTTTTTGTTTATGCGCTAAAAAATAAGTTTAGAATCAGCTTCCCAGAAACCCCGCACCTTAGGAAGAACGCCAGCTTATTTGTGACTGGATTCATATAAACTTTGAATCCAGAATTTATAATGAAACCGAGCTATAACAAGTTTGTGCTCACTTAAGCCTCGTTTGGCAAGTGATTTTTTTAGTCAAAAAGCTAAAAAATTACTAAAAAAATAAAAAAGCCAACAACTTATACCAAAAAGCCAAAGATTTCCTATTCTCTGTACTTTTTGCACATCTTTTTGTAAAAAGCTAAAAAGTCATCCCGAACTAACTAATTTTTTTACATCATATTTTAGTCAAAAAGCCAAAAAGTTACTAAAAAAATTTGTTGCCAAACATGGCTTTAGATACTTAGATACACCTTCCCGAACTAAGGAAACATTGCCTAATCATGACCGAACTATAGTCTAGCTCACTTTATGGACCGAGATAAAAATCTCACCCTCCCCCAAGGCCGAGCAAAATAATTTATACTGATGCCTTAGCCCAGTCACCAGCTGGCCATAACACATTCTATGTTCTTCACTGTACAGACTCTTAACTAGGTTTACTCAGGCACACCATTCACTACAAAGTCGGGCTAAGGTGTCGAGCGGATACTTGTAAACAAAAGCTACCCAAAAATGGACAAATACCGGTTCCTTGTGAGTTCGCTCGGCGCTATAGCCGAATTCTGAAGGGATTACTACATCCCTGAAGACATTCAATTTGAACTAGCCGAGCCGGACACCAAACCCTGGGGTAGATCGGGCTTTGTTCCGTTCACACTGCTGTCTATTATAGAGGGTGGACTCAGGTTCCCAGTCCAACCCCTAATTTGTGAATTCCTTAGGCAAACCAGACTATGCCCCACATAATTATCCACCAACACCTACAGAATAATAAATGACATAGCTGAACTAAATCGCCGCCTTAGCCTCAACCTCGGACTGGAAGAGTTTTTTCACTAATATTCGCTCGGTCAGAATGATGACGGTTGGGTATATTACCTTAGAGTAAGAAGGGGCCAAGAGAAAATCGTCAAGAGTACACTGATAAAGACCTGAACGACGATGATTTTCTTTGGGTGTTTGGAAATTTTGAAGACCACGAAGCCTAGATATCGGGCTATAACATCAACTGGAACAAGGGAACCGCTAGTAAGGACAGCTTGGTTTTATCTTCTTTGTCACCAAAATAACTACCGTGCTAACACTTGTGTTCTTTGTCCCTTATGTAGATTTGAACCAC